ATAGTCAGTGCAAAGTGGCCTAGAAATTCTTTGGTGGGGGGCGGTGAGGGACGTGGATAAAAGCTGGGGGGGCGCTGGCCCGAAAAAGGTTGAGAAACACTGAGTTAAAGGATGTATTTTTTACACTTTAATGAAACAGTTTATCAAAAAAAATTGGTTCTAAATGAGGAAGAAAGTTCTTAAATAAGGACAGGAGTTTTACAATAACATTCAGAAGTTACAAACACTTGAAATGGTGTACTGAGATAACTTTACTAAAAACATATATGCCAGGGGTGGGCAATCCTGGTCCTTGAGGTCAGGTGTCCTGCAACTCTTCGATGTCTCCTTGGCCCAACACACCTGGATCCAACAGCTGAATCTCCTCCTCAGTGCAGTCAAGTTCTCCAGAGTCCTGCTAATGACTTCATTATTTGACTCAGGTGTGTTGAAGTAGAGACACATCTAAAAGTTGCAGGAGACCGGCCCTCAAGGCCTGGAGTTGCCCACCCCTGAAATATGCCAAATGGTGGAAAATATTTCCACAGCTTCATAATATTTTTGTTCCTGAAGAGATCCAATGGGAGATGGAAATATTCTGATGACTTTATAGATAGAATTTGTGTACAAGTACATATTTTTTAGGACCAAACAAAGAGTCAATAGGGAAAATGTTTTAGACCATTAAAATATTTCAGACTAAGACAACTAGGAATCATTAACATATATTTCCTCCATTTTTACCCATCCCAGAACTCATCTACTTTTAAGACGAGGCTTGAAACTTTGCTTTTTGATAAAGCTTATAGTTGGGCCAGCTTGGGTTATCCTGATGTATTTGTGCTTATGATGTTATAGACTTAGGCTACTAGAGGATGAACTGTTCACTTTCTCACTTTCTTCTTTTACTCTCCAATTTGCATTATTTGCAGTTTTTTCATCTGTTAAATTTGTTTTCTCTGTTATTTTCTCTCCATTGAAGCTACACTTGGTCTGGCGTACTGATTGGCTGTGATTCCTTCCTGGAGGAGGGCATCGGCTGACATAATGCTGCCATCAGCTGCTCTGCTTTGAACTTTTTACTTTCATGAACATCAAAATAATCCTACATCAGTTCATCAGTTTCTTCTTGTTCATTCTGTTCTGTCTTCTCAAACCCCAAGTCAGTCTTGGCAGATGGCCACTTGTACTGAGTCTGGTTCTGGTTCTGCTGGAGGTTTCTTCCCATTAAAGGGAGTTTTCCTCATGCTCAGTATGAGGGTTTGCTGTACAGTCAGTGATTCAACGCAAACGATTGTCTCTACATGCTCATCCAGGAGGAGTGAACGCTGTCAGGCAATGATTTGATGCAACCTGATGGGATTCCTTAGAAACTTTTAATCCACTTTGAATAATTAATTTAATTTACTGTACTTGAAATTATGTTTTTGTAAAATGCCTTAAAACCACATCTGTTGTGATTTGGTGCTATATAAATAAACTGAATTGAACTTCATCTGAACCATTATAACCTCATGTCTTCTGAATGCATAACAATGAATACATGATAACTTGTATTCAGAACTTGTATATGGCTTTCCATATATTACATACAGTACCTTGATTGGTATCTAAAGAAATATTACTAATGCAGAAACACATGAGAATAACTAAAAACATAACTGGATGTTGGCAAGACGAGATAAAACAGTACTATGTTTATGATATGTTGATTTAGCTTTAATGCTACAGTATATAGAAAAGTGACCTTTCTGTACATAATGTATAAAGTTTAGAAAAATAATTCAAAAAGATATAAAAAATAAAAAAAAAATCAAACAAGTTTACGTCTTACTGGTTCAATGCAGTCTTTGGAGAGAGGAGGTGAGGGAAAGGCAGCAAAGATCAACACGCCCACATACATATATGTCCCTCCAACAAGAAGATAAGCCAAGGACAGGTCCCTTACCTGCATGGAAGAAAAACTGTAAAGGATCCATGTGGAATATTTGAGCCTGAACTCAGTTTGAATCAAAACTAGATTTAAATTATCAACAATAAAAATCCTAAACGCTGATGAAAAGTAGTTGACCTGGTTGGTGATCTACTGTTGTTTTCCACCTAGAACAGTTGTTGGTGGACAGTTTCTACACAACTTGATCACTTTATGTAATTTATGGAGTTGATTCAAACAGATTGCAAAGATGTAAAATGTTATTCACTTATTGTGCCAATATATTTGAATTCCAGAAGAAAGATTCAAACCTTTGCACTTTTCTACTGAAGTGTATTAGGATTAATGAAATACTGCCTGAGCAACAGGTTCTAGCAGCATTATAGTCTACTTAAAATGGGACCCACTAAACATCTGGAGCAGACGGTCATTCATATATTTACAGAAATTGTCTCAGTGGAAAAGGCAATATTACCAGATGTGGTAGTATCCTAACCTAACATTCTGTTATACTTTAGATATTTAATAAAATGAATTGTAATAAAATCAGTGGGCCCAGGCTGAAAGGACCTAAAATATTTAACAAACCAATTTCTTCACTACTTCTTCCATCTGCATTTGTTGAAATAGTAAGGCAAATAAAGAAAATAAAGACAGAAAAATAAGTCTAATCAATTTCAAGGTCATTTTCCTCCAAATTCTTGATTGGTCTATTGGTCCAGCCAGAACCACAGAAAAGCTTGTCCCGCTAATTTTGTCAGCAACAGTAACTGAGCACAGACTCACATTATTTTCTTGGTTTTTGTTGCTCTTCATCAATGTGATGATGCAGTTGTGAATGAAGAAGGCCAGGGTGAGGACACCAGTCAGCTGAGGAAAAAACAACCTGAACTCTGAAGGAAGAGGAAAATCACAAGTCTTAGACGAAACATAAGCATCACAACCAAGATCTTCATATACAAGACAGATTTCACCAAAACAAAGATCACTGTGCTGGTATGTTCATATATTTAGTGGTCTATCCAGTTTTGGTAAACACTACATCTAAAACATTTTAAAGACTTGTTTTTAGTTTTAGGTTAAAAAGAACAAAAGATCAAAGTAATATAACAGCCAGATAAACTTTTTAGATTTTTTTTTATTTAAAAAAGAAGTAGTATTTAAAAAAATAAAAAAATAAAAAACATCCTCTAATCTCCCCCACCCATGTTCATCTAAAAGATAAAAAAAAAGTAATTCATTCAACATGGTTAGCAGGTACATGGGACATTTTTAGCACAATGTTGATAAAAGCGTGAGCATTTGTCACAGCTGTGGCAGAACAGGACTGAGGAATGGCAGATCTACCTGGAACGTAGAACTGGGATGGACCAAACCAGTGGAACTCTAGGTGGAAGCCAAGGTGGGAAGCTTTGATTGTGACCAGCACAATCAGATAGATGACTGATATAGTGCCTAGAAGAAACAGAAAATTCCTTGGAAAAACTGACAAACAAGTAGATTGTGTAAACCATTAATTACACTGACTACAACTACTAATTACCATGTAATTATAGAAATGCTACATAAGTGAAGAATAAACTGACAGTAAGCTAGTAGCTTTTGATACATCAATACATCGTTGATGGACAGCCATGGAGTCCATCAATGGGTCAGATGATGCACATTAAAGTACCTAATGAAATCAACATCAGCAGCTGTGACCACATATGTAAAAGTAGCTGTTTGATGCTTCGCCTCAATCTGCAAGTTGCAATAAGATCATTTCTAAACAATTGGAAGTTTGTTATTTAACAGAAACAGCTGGAAACATTTAGGAAGGCTGCCAACCTTCCCAGGAGTGGATGTTCCAGTGGTATGCAGTTCCTTCTTCTGACTCATTCATCCAGACTGACAAGTTACTGAGGCTCTGTGCTGATGTCTGCCTAAAACAGCAAGCTGTCACCACATAACCAGCTAATTGCGCAACAGCCATACTGTCATATACAGGCCAACAGAGGCCTCAGACTGATGCTACAACACAATATTATGTTCTGGACTTTAAGTCCTGACTTTAAGCAGACTGTGTTTCATTTATTATCATAGGAGGAAGAGGGTGGCCTTTTCAACACTATAGCATATACGTCAGTGACAGGTCTGGTCACTGACTTCAGTCTGGTTTTACTCCAGACTGCAGTGGTGTTACAATTAAGGACCAAAGAATGTGCTGAACACTCGACATATGGTAAAATGCTGAGTTCTAATCTTTCTAATGAAAATCTATGCTAGGTAGCTGAAGAACAAACTATTCGCTCACTGAGTCCCAAATTTTTGGATAAATGCCAAAACTTCCTGAAAGCATCCCAGGAGCTTGGGCTCCACTTACCAAAGAAAGTGAACCTGGCAAAGAAAGAGGCAGAGCGAAAGCAGAGCAGTGGCAGCAGCAGGATGATGAGGTAGAGAGGGATGGTGCTGGTTTTACTCCAGTAGTGATCAAAGCTGCTCCCAGATGAGTCATTCCCAGAGGAGCTGCCACACAGACTGGTCATGGAGTCATTTCTTCCAGGGTGAGTTTTAGGGTATGGGCAGATAACTGGCGAACACATCAACAAGACATCACCACAAGCATAATTAAAACAATTACACTATTAACAATACACAATTAGAAAGATTCAGATACCTACACTTTAATTTGGGTTTTACTTTTCACCTCACTGCACAAACCTCACATATTTTACATTTGGTCGAGTCACCCTCATTTCAGTTAACCACAATATCTATTTCATTCCTGAAGTGTGGGGTAGGGTCAGTGGTGGAACTGGGCTGTTATACCAGTGGTGGCCATAGTTTTATTTGGGGGTACATATTCATAAATATTCTCTCTCTAAGCTGGTACCTAAACAACAACTCAGACAAGAGATGCAGTCTTACTCTCTACATGCTCCACCCACTGCCCTGGCAGCATGGGCGGGCATTGCCCGCCCACAGAGTCAGCCACACCTGCCTTGGGATGGAAGCAGTTTATTTTATGTGAGTGTGATTGTTTGTTTTGTTTTTTTTTGTTTGTTTTTTGGGGGGTGGGATGGAGGGGTTACGTCATAGAGGCAAAGTTTCTATTATTTTCATCTTGATTTGATAAAATATGGACTCCCACACTGTAGCTGTGTCCTCTATCCCCCACACATTTTTCAGCTGTTACAAATGTTTAATCTGTTAATATGTTGTAAAGTAGTTTCCCAAGTCATCGTTATACATAACATGAGCGTCAAGACGCCTGCGGTGGTTTTACAGATGGAGATATGCTGCTGTGCCAACTTGCACATCGTGTGTGTTAGAATCTTGAAGCAAACCAGCAACAGGCAAAAAGCTTTGTACAGTTTTTTCCAAACAAGTTGAATGAGTTGAGTAATGTTGGATGTTGATGATGTTAGTAAAACGATGACTAGATAATACATGCCAGTACATCACACTAAGCTCATTAACAAAAACAAGCTAATAAATTTGTTATCCATGTTCAGAGGTGGGTAGTTCTCAATCAGTCAACCAAATCAAATCACTCAATTAAATTTTATTTGATTGTTCAAGTTCTGGTTCATTTACTTGAGTAATGTTTTTTTTGGGGGGGGAGTACTTAAGTTTTACTGCACTGTACTTTTTACTTTTACTTGAGTAATCTTATGAACTACTGCTACTATTGACTAGGTTGAGTCTGCATTTAAAGAAATAGACTTTAAAGATTGGACACTTTAGATTTTTGGATTTGTGTAATGTATAAACTAACATTTATGCAAATTTGAGCATAATTACTTTGCATGTCATTGTTTACATCATTATTAATGTTCTTTTGTTTGTTTTTAAGATTTTTTTTATCCGAGAGTGGTCAGACAGGAAAGCAGTTTGTGAAGAAGGGGAAAGAATGAGAATGTGTAAAAAGGTTTGACAGGTGAAATAAAAACCTATCATCATCACAGAGCCTGGCCTTTAACCTGGATGGCTGTGAAGGATCCTCTTTGCTCCAAAACACACAGAATTCCTTTTAGGCAAAAGATCTGAATTAGCAGCCTCGTTCACACATCATCAGAGAACACATACAGAGGAGGGTAGGGTGTGCTGCAGAAAACTTTTAGCACCAACACCACTGCTACTCTGTTCATTCCATGCTGTTGGCCTGAGTGTGTAAGCCTAACCATCACATCCCTGAGCCAGAGCCTGCTTCAAATAGCACTGATTTAACCACAGCAAACTCTGAAGTGGGATTGGTGAATGTAACTCTGTGGAAGTGATCAGGAATTTTGCCTAGGTCCATGTGCTTCTTTCAGCCATTGATGGATGGATGAATGAATGAATGAATGAATGAATGAATGAATGAATGAATGAATGAATGAATGAATGAATGAAGTTCCATGTGACATCACCATATGGTGGATGCCACCTTTAAGGTGACACCAACAGGTTCATTATACATCAAATAAAATTATTCCAGATGTGCGAATTAATTATAAATATTTTGCTCTTAAGATGCTAAAATCTGCAAAATATTTCATATTTCACTGAACACAATTACCTTATCATGCATTTTGAGTAGATAGTCAGGAATAACCTTTTGTGACAAGCTAAACCTGTTAATAAATAGAACTTTAGGGTCTAAAACAGTACATCAAATCTTGGAGCCTGGTTGTAAAAAAAAAAAATGTTTTTAAGACCCAAAGGAAATAAAAAATAAAAAAATAAAAAAAACATTCTCAGATTTATCACTTTTGCCGGGTTTAGAAATCTCATGTAATGCACCAAAATTATATCTGATCATAAGAAAGAGAAATAGAGAAAGCATAAATGAAAATTGATTTCTCTTCTTGTCTGCATTCAAGAATGGTAATCAACTCTTTTTAAAACTAATTGAAAGCATATGGTTGTTGGTGTAGAACAGTCTTTAAAACTACTCAGAAATGTTACAAGTAAAAGTTTCCTGATGCAGGTTCCTCACCTCTGTCAGAACCATTGGTTCCATACTCTGAATCGGATGTGCTGACGTTGTGAGCGTGGTCTGCAGACGTGAAAAAATAAGAAGAATTTAAAACACTCATTTATGAATTCACTTTCACAATGTAAAATTATTTTTATTTCAAACCACTGCTGGACAGTTAACTAAATCCATATTTATACAGGGCCAGAGTCTAGGTATTCAAACACCTAGACATTCTCAAAGAATAAATCTTTTAAAATGTTTTAATGAGGGTATGTGTGAACAGCTCAAACTTCTGAGTACAGATATTGCCCAAGATAAAATTTTTATACATTGTTAAAATGGTCGCATGACCTTAATGTGACTTGATAGCTGCATGATCAAAGCAACACCCTGCCTACAGCTTCAAATACAATAAAGAGTCAGCCCTTAAAGACGTTTCTGGTTCCAGTTTAAATGAATGAGCCACTTCCAAGAGGATGTATGAGCTGAACAATCAGGGCTGAGTCAGCATTTTAGATTTGCTGAAGCAAGCGTTGAGGCAAAAATGGAAACTAGCAATCTGAAGTGGACATGGCCCACATGACTTCACGAACAAACCCGTAAAGAAAAACTGCTATCAGACTTTGGAATTACATGTTTATGAGCAGCAATGTTGCACTTTGGTAGATCATTTGAAAACTTCCACACAACAGCACATACCAGACAAGATTTAAGACAACAGGGTAAACATGGAACATTACGGTCATGTTTAAACTTACTGTAGATGAACTGCCCAGTGTTGTAGAGGAAGTTGGACATTAGGACCCAGTATACCACCATGGCTCCAACAAGAGACACCATGGAGAAGACCAAGCTGGACCACTGGCCAAGCTTTCCAAAGTAGAACCTGCAAACATCAGGGAATTCCCAGCTGGATGTGTCCACACCCCCTGAGCAGAACAGCACAGTATTTTAGAGCATATCAGTTAAATTTCTTTTCCAGAGGAATATTCCCTTGTTAGTTAAGACACAATACCTCATTGCTGGATATTAAAGATACAATGTGTTGAGTTTACACATAAGGAATTTTAAAATGAATCTGAAAACTTGGTGTCTATTTGGTGTCTACCAGCATGTCTGAACAGTACAGAATAGTAGGTTGGGAAAATCTCAAAGTAGGACATAGTCACAAACAGGTGGCAGCACTATGTCCACAGTGGATGAATAGTTTCCTGGAAAGACCTGCACTCATCTTCAGTAAAGCTCATGAGAAACATTAGAAATGGAAGGACGGTGATATAAAAAAATGTTTGGTGAAAACTACACCAGAAGGCTATTTACCTAGTAAATCTACAGATATATGGCTCCCTCTAGATTCCTGCACTGTTTTGTTATAATTAAGTAGTACATAAAATCATCAACCTGAGAAATACTCTGTCAGAAAAAGTTTTGTGAGAATGTGAAGAGAAAGAATGACTTGGACCAGATCACTCTTCACGCTTTTGTTTGTTCTCACCATTGACTGCACTCTTCAGACAATTAAAGAAACAGATTCTACATTTAAGTTTCCACAACATTAATTTATTAATATCAGTAGAGCTGCATGACGTGAGGAAATTGTGTAGCTGACTTCTTTTTTTCCCTCTATCCATCATCTGTCCTTCCATCACTCTGTGACCTTTAGCATTTTGGAGAAGATCATTAGTGTCTGATGTGAACATCTGCTGCCCTGACACTCTGTCCAGGGTAGAGTGTCAGTGGGATATGTCCAACTGGCACAGATTTGATGTGCCAGTTGGACATAATATCTGTCCAACTGGCTAAATATTATGCTAGCATGAAAAACACAAGTCAACAGAACCTGGAATACATTAGCCAACTCCAAGCAGTCCTTTTGATATGAATGTTGCACACACTGATATTTCCATGATAATTTATTGTGTAGCCCTTCATATCAGTGGGAGCATAATGCCCTAGGGTCTTGTCACATCATATGTGGAAACTAGTAGAACCAGAACCTGTGAAACTACTACACCACGATATAAAATGAACGCATCAACAGATAACGGGCCTCCCAATTTTACTCACCATTCATAGTTCTCACAAAATGTCAAGACTGGACTTCAATCATGCTTCAAAACAACACTAAGGAATTTCTTTAAGCTCTTATAGTCACCTCCTCACAGTTCATTAAGCCACCGCTTAATGATGAATAACAGCAAAGTGATAAAGTCCTAAATGGTAACGTTGTTTTCCTAATGAAGGATAGTACAGACCAAGTTTGTTCAAATTAAAAAAAAAAAAAAAAAAGAACATCTATCCTGTACAATACAATATCATCCCTTACTTCATTAAAGCAAAACAAGGAGAGGACTAAAGCAGAAGAGATACTGCTGGACTTACTAATTGCCTTTGGTGATTTGATGACAATGTAACAGCAGTACAGCATTAGCAGGCCAGTGAAGATGAGGATGATGATTCCCAGAGTGAAACCAGCCTGAAGAAATTAAGTGAATAAAAAAAGTCTATTCAATTTTCAGGAAGAAATCTATGTCCAGCAACAGCTGACTTAATGTTAGCATAAAGCCACAAACTGAGGAAAACAGTAAAAGGTAGGCGACCTGCTTAATACCCCATGGTATGCTGAGTATGGACGTCCCCATCATGGTGTTCCATATGGCAAAGCTGCACGGAAACACACGCAAGGGAATCAAAGTCCTGAAGACGAGGGCTCCACGTTCAGTGACGCTGACTGAAGCAGTGAGATCTTACATGGTGACAATGCTGGGGTTCTTAGCAGCCTGCTCACTGTCTGGAACTTTGAAAGCCGTCCCGAGAGGGCTGTAGACGTACATCTCCTCTGCTGTGGGGATCACATGGTTTGGAGGACTCTGGAGGAGCAAATGAAAACATCAACGCTTTCAAATCAATGACATCTTCAGAGAAATAAAGACAAACATTCACATGGCTTTAATTCACAGCTGGAGCAATGATGACAATATGAAAAACATAAAACAGCCATTTTATTATCATTTCTTCTCCAATTTTATTGGCATACAGTAAGCCAGGAAATTAAATGTCATTTAAAATCATTCTTTGCTATAGCGACAAAGTGACTTAACCTACCAGCATTGTGTCAGAGGACCCTGTCAGTCTGCTGTAGTAATGGACTCTACTGTTCAGGATGGCAGCCTCAGCAGAGATCCTCTCCTGAGGGTCATCACTTACAATGTTCCTGGGCTCCACATAGAAAGGCCTGCAACACCACACAAATCACAGCATTGCCACCTTTACTTTTAATTTAAATTCCCCAAAACAACTTGGTGCTAGTTCAGAATGTTTATCAAGTCCAAAGTCAGCAAAGAATATGCTAGAACATCTTACAGCACCTCATGCTGACTGCATTTTCCAGCAGGACTTGGTGCCTGTTGCTACAAGTACCAGTACCTGCTTTAATCACCATGGATCCCAGTGCTGGATGTGCAGGTGAACTGGTCTGACCAGAACCACACAGAGTCTATGCGTCAAGAGGAAAAGAAGAGAGAGAAGGTCCAGCAAGGACACTAGTAAGGCAACCTGGGCTGCCTAACAGATCAGCTTCTTGCAGTCAGAACAGTGAACAGTGTCCAACTGATCACAGTCATACCATACTATGCTGTACTACTGTTCTGCAGAAATTCCCTGAGTAAAAACAAAGACTGTTTGTGAGCTGTGAAAGGGTGTGTTTGTAATCTTTAATGTGCTAGAAACTTGTTGGTCCCTGTGAAATACCTAACTGGATTAAAACTGACACAAACTGCTAACAGAGAGGGGAATTATGCCAAGGTGGTGCCAATCTCACAAGTCCATCATAGAGTTAGCTTCCTAGAAAAGCACCATGTTTGTTTATTATCATGCAATACCCTCAAGGAAAAAAACACATGCACTAAAAGCATTCCAAAACTGAACTAGGTGGCTTTTATACTGAAAATCCTAAATGTCTCTGAATTTCCAGAGGTTGACATTTAAAACTTTATTTTATTTAATTTTACAGAAGACAGAAAACATTTGTTAAAATAGAAAAGTAACTGAGCTTATGAACAGTTGTGACTAAATCCTTATTTTAGGTACATCTACCGGATGAACATACAAGATATCTGGCTAAGGGTCGGGCCAGGAGCCTTACACTCCTCCTCCTGGTGGAAAGACACAGCTGAACAGTTTATGGTCCCCAATGTTTCAATTAGTTTAATTATAAATAACTGGACTTGAATATTAAAATGAATTATATACCGTAACTCATAAAGAAATTTGTTGTCCATTCTAAACTTTGCAGAGAAACATTCTTTTTTAGATTTGGTTTCTAAAAAACCAAATCCATCTGGAAAGCAAAACTATCCTCTCATCTCAGAATGGACCACTGTTTGCTTCAGTACATTCAGCCATTTTAAAAACCTTTGAAGTCTTTGATATTTCACCACTAATAGCCAATTTTGGTATTCAGACCTTCTGCAGCACACAGAGGTTCTGGGGTTTCTACCGTTTAGTTCTGATGTCCAGTGACCCAGCTGAGCCTCTGTGGGAGGGGCTCTCCCCAGTGGGATCTGGGCCCGGCAGAGGCCTGCAGTCATCCTCCATGGTCCTTAACAATCAGCCAGGCATCAGCCTTCAACTCATCACCTGTCTGGAAGGACAGAGGAAGATTCACGTTAAGAACAACCAGTACTTCAACAACAGAATGTCAAAGAAATTATATTATGAAGCATAACAATACAATTATTGCTGAATATTGCACAGAAGTTATTGACTGCAATTTACCCAGAAGTTTTTTCCCATCATAGTAAAGTTCATTCAATTCTCTCGGAGTGATGTGGGACACAAGTTTATGTGAAACTACAGATCTGATGCTGCTCTTACACCTGAATTTCCCCTCTGTGGGGCAACAAAGGATATTTCTATTCCAGTTGATTTCTAAGTTTATGCTGGGAAGAGAGAGCCTGCTGGCTGGTTTAAACTTATCTAATGTGACTTAGACAGGTTTAAACCAGAGATGTTCCCAACCAATCCATTCAACAGCAGTGTTGTTGTTACCAAGCTAAACATCACAGAAACTTTGTCCATTACAACAGCAGCTTCTATCATCAGGTTCTACAAACTAATGGACTCAAAGCCGCATCTAGAGTTTATCCAACAGTGTCTTTAGAAGTTCACTGGGTGCTGCGCTACCTCAGCATCTGTATTTTTTTTATAATGGAACAACAGAAAGGCAAAATTAGGTCATTTAAATAATATTCCCTGCTCAGTACTCAGTTTCTTTCACTGACACACATCTTCCACTCATGTGGCTCTAAAGAGCTTAAAGGAGGAGCTTATGCAAACTCTAAAACTGGATGAAAAAACTGTAACTTCATATTTAAAATTAGCTTTGTCCACCTCCACCAATGCAATATTTCATTGTTATCCTAACTATGATATATGCAACACATGTAAACTAGACAGAGTAAATGATTCAGATAAAGTTAGAAGAATTATTTTTGGATTCTATAAAATAAGTATGCGAGAGCAAGGCTTAGAGAATTAAGGGGACATTGTTTAATGATAAAGAGAGCCAAAAAAACATCGTCATCAAATCAGTGCCTTAACAACATAGTCACAATTATTTCCCTTGTATTTGTGCCTGCAGTAAACCCAAGTTACAGCAAACATATTTTGGAGAGATGAGATGAAATGGTCATGCAGCAGCTGACCAAATGAAGCTCTTCAGAACAAATCACAGTCAACAAAAACAGCTCCACTGAAAGCATGTTCCACCAGTGTAAGAGAATGTTTTATCAGCAAACTGCACACCTTCACATTTCTGGGGAACAATTTTCTTAACCAAACAAAGAGGCTGTGTAAAAAGAGGAATGTCTGTGCTCACACTGCTAGTTTTAGTGAGATTTCATGTTGAAAACTACCAAAGAGGTCATGCTTGTAGGGCTGCACCGATTGCAGTTTTTTGGCCGATTGCCGATCTATAAAAAGTCTGACCTTCGGATTCCAATTTTGGGCCATAATGATTTTTTTTTATCTGAATGTTGATAAATATAGCAAGAAAGTCGCTGAGTTAGTGACAGTGGAGTGACTATTGTTAACTGTAACATGCAGACATGACCTGGTGGTCTGGCCTGGCAGTCAAACCTCTCACAGCAGATTAAAAGAGGGCAGTAGCTGATTTTAGACCTTTGCTGAGGCAGATGAGATGGATGAATCAGGTCGGCTTCACATGTAAGCATCGGCCCTTCACCAATCTCCCAAAAGTAGAAAATCTGGGCTGATTTGTAGGCTGGCCGATTTATGGATGCATCTTATGCACCTAATGCTTTTATTGCATTAAGGTAGAAACTACAGTACGTCACAGCTTTTATGCTAAAACACACTTATTGTGCTAAGTATTGAATAATTTTCTTTAAACATGGCTTGATCTGCACACTAGCCTGATTTGATTAAGTGAGTTGGACTCCACATCACTTCTGAGAAGGCTATTCAAGTGAAAGTTTAAAAAAAAACTTTTCAGTGTCTACGACCACAATGAAACTATCTTACTCAGATGTTTAAAATAAGGAAGTCCAAAGAAAAGGGAACTACAGAACATCCCATTCAAATTGTGAGATATTTAGTCATCCAATTAGTCAACATCAGCATTTAACATGAAGATCTGAAGCTGTGATGGTAATCTTTTGTGCATAATTAGATTATTAACAATAAAACATCAAACACAAAAGGCATTAAAGTAAAAATCCGGTGAGTGACAATCAGTGACAACAAAGGTTAGGTCATTTCTGTGTACTGATATAATCAGAGCAGTTTAGAAACCCTCAGTGATCGTCCCTGTCTGAGCTTGATTACAACTGTGTATTAAAAATTACTTTAGATGTTTTTATCTAAAAGTTACATAACAAAGTCTAACTGGTTTTAGACTTTATCTAAAAAACAATACTTTTATTTTAGATCTCAAACAATAATTAGAACAAACCATCTATACTAGTTTAGAATAATTCACAAGACTATTGATTAACTTAAACAACTATCCGCAATCTGCTTATCCGTGTGACCAGCTGGATGCGCGCGCTCCCAGGCAGCAGCGTCTGGAAGCAGATGTTCTCTTATTATCTGAAACCCCAAATCGCCCCCTTACCGAACCGCAGAACCAGTTGGCAAGAACTGAGGTGGCCTGGACCTGCTTCTCATCGCCATTCCTCCCAGCGCATATTAGCACAGTTCCTGTCGTTGCGCTCTTAAGTGCCAACAATATTAGAATGTGTGGGTAACACACTGCAGCTTCCCGTGTTTTACCTGACTTCGACCCTACTGTCACAGCTAAAGCTTCCAATTTAAAGTTTTTCTGCTAGTGAAACGTCGAAGGAGCCGCGGCCTCCTGTCTCCGGTAGTGTAAACACAGCGAAATGTTCCGGAAAAGGCCAACCTTATAAAGTTACTAACCTGTGGACCAGCGCAGAGGAAATAAAGCGGCGTTAGCTCCACAGCTACACAACACTCCGAAAATGCTGAGCGTCATCCAATCAAATTCATTGTCAAGCACGTGCAATGACGTCACACGCAGGGCCGCGTAAGTAAATATTGCAGACTCCCGAGTCAAATATAAAGGTAAAAATCTTGGTATTTCTATTACGAAAGAAGAAAACCAAAGGTCAAATGAAAATTTAAACCCCGTTGTTGCTTTAGTCCAGAAGAAATTTAATATGTGCATACAGAAAGATTTATCCATCTCTGGTCGTTCCTTACTTTCTAAAGCCCAGCGTCTTTCCAGTTTGGTACAGCTCCACACTAGAGGCTAAAAAATTAATTTATATACATATATACCAGTGATTCTTGAGAACAGGGACAAAACAGATCCTATCGATAAAGCACAAAATTTGAATAAAATATACACAAAATATATATTTTTTTCAAATATCTGACTAAACTAACCTGGGTCATGTGAGCACAACAATGTATGTTTTCCTGGTGTTTGCTGAATATTTTTTTATTTTAAACATTGTAGTAGGTGGATGGTG